CTAGCGTAAAGGTTGAAAACCGCTGGTGTAGAGCTTTAATTTGTTTGTAACGTGTTACGATCGGCGAGGTAAAAAGCATGGCTCCGTGTTCCTTTCCACGATCGTTCGTGCGCACGAATCGGTTACGCGCCGATCGAAAGTAAGTTCTCGGTGTGCAGCTGCAGGTATCATGTTATGCGATATTGCAAAGCATATTCCGTACATTAGAGGATATATAGAGTTTTCATTAAACCTCTGATTCTGATAAATTATCATCCAATAAAAAAGTCAAATAACGAATTGGTGAATGCGAAATTGTACCAATCATTCGGATATTGTAATCTCCACTCTAATGCAAGTATGTGTCTATCGCTATTAGGATCAGGAGTATTTAAGCACATTCATGTATGCGTGAGTGGAACGGGATTCCGAATATTTACGTAATTATGCATAACACGAATTACATTTTTTGGGAAGTAAAACCAGTTCCCATATCTCAGTATGTGAATTTGCATAATTCGCGAGGCTGCAGTAACTAATGTTGCATACTAAACTCGTTTAAGCCTTCTGATGTACAATTTTAAGCCGTCTCCTTTCTCTGATATTTCTATGAATAAAAGACTATTAAATATAAATATATTCGTTTGAAACAATCAAGAAGGAGGAAACGAATTTTCTCTGAGAGACATTGCCCATGCACCGTTGATCCCGGGGCCAATTTTCAGGATTGTTGTTCAATTCAAGGCACCGTGACCACTGGTCGAAAAAGATCGTTTCGGCACGGTCCAACTCGGGTTTTACGTAAGAGAAACGCCGGGAACATCTGGAAGCTTGCGCGCGAAACGTGAAAGTGGACTTATACCGAGTTACAGGTAACGGTCAGTTAATTCCGCGACCGTTTGGTTAATATTCTGCAACTCTGACCGGTTCCCGTTGCGATCGCGGAAAAGATTTTTTATCGACACACATTAGAACGGGTTTTTCCTTGCGGTCCTGGGAAAATTAGTAATTGATACATCGAACGACTTATTATAACTACTAACATTCTGACCCAAATCGATCACTGTAACGTTTCATTTTATTTATTTAAAACTTACGTATGTCATGTCACTTTTAATACACTGCACGTTAAAAAATACCCATATGGCTGCGACGAAACTGAATCACGTAACTCGTAACCAAATCATTCGTCAGACGCTCGGAAACAAACCACGGAAATCGGTTATAATGAACCGTGGAATAACGAAGAAAGAACCATAGAATGCAATCTAAAGAGCACATCGTTTTTCCAACATAAAGACGACCTTGACTATTTTCCCATGACAGACAAAAGATAGTTGAGGCCGCACTTGAATCACACGTACCTTGTAGCTTGTTACTCCAGCGCGATCCAATGTCTCATCTCAGTTCACCTGGCCCGTCAGGTCCTCCCACACGCTTAGAGGCACCCCTTATCACTGATCTCACGGTTCAATCGAGTTATCGAAACTGATTAAAAACTCGGTTCCAATTACACGCGCGTTCGTCTATGGAACTTGAAAGTTTTCGTAAAATCGAGTGTTTTATGTTGATCAACTCGATCAAGTTAAGTGAAAATGATCGTCAGGCATCTTCGCGCGATATGGATTCGGTGTTCGGTCACCGCGTTCGCGTTTGGGGACGTTCGTCGGCGGAATGCTCGGAGACAAGTGGAAGTCGATCGAACCGACCGGCGTGTCAAAAAACCTGGCTCTAAATGGGGGAGAAAAAAAGTGTTCGCCGGACCGTTTTCCCTTTCGCTCGGCTCGCCACCACCACCGTTCACCACCACCAACTGCACCACCCAGCGCACCGTGTAAGTACTTACTCTGCCCCTACCCCACAGGCTGAGTAAAGGATATTTACGTCGAAAGCCTCCCCTCCCACGAGACGCGTATGTACGTCGCCTCGTGCCTCTTACTGACTGATAGCTACTTTGATATGCGTGACTTCCTGCAATCCGAGGATACTTACTGCTGCTGCAATCGAAAATATTGTATGCGACAAAAAATTCTGGTTCTAATGCAGGATTTAATTCGGGGGTGAACATGAAAAATGTCATGGAAAAGTACTTATTAAAGAATGTTCTGTGTAGAATGCAAACCGTTGCGAAATACATAGACAAGAATTTAAATAATTAATTAACTTCACTTTCATTTTTGATTAATTGCACTTAAAAAAAGGACAGTTTCGAAACAAGGAGAGAGTGCCGAAAAATGTCACGGAAGAAATCAAAATGAGATATGAATAAAGATTTTGAATATGTATAAAATGCAGAAGATCGGGTTTTCTTTTCCTGTTTTACGTTGGAACCTACATAAGTGAAAAAAGAACACAACCTCGTGTTCGATTTTTTACAAAAGCTAACACGGTTATTCCACTGAATAGGCGTACAGTTTTATGTAACCATGATCTAGAATCGCATCCACGTACGTCTTGATCCACCGACATTAATGATTCAATTTACATAATTTGCATGCTTCTTTATGTTCTGTACATTTAAAATACTATAACGTAAATGTCATTTCACCGTATGTTTCCATGATTCCGAAATATCTTGATGAAACATTTTCATCCCCCGTTGTTTTGAAATCCACTCACATTGCTTAAAGTAGAACAATCACTAAATACTACGTCATTTTCGAGCACGGCATTTCGTCACTGATTAATTATCCCAAATCGTTAAGCTCATTTCCTAATCACTTAATCTCGTGATCAATCGACAATGATTTGGGCGTTGCTCGAATAAAATATTCAAGGAATAAATTATACTTGATCAGATTCCTTCTTAAAATGAGTTCACTATCGTTCATTTTGTTTGCAACAAATTTTTGTTCTAAATTATGTAAATTAGTACAGAACATTAATTATGGGATTGATAATATAAATAACAATCAGATTTTGATGAAATTTGTTATACTGCTAACTAAAACTTTTAGAAAGATGTAGTTAAATTAAAGATTAAGCATAACTAAGAAAAAAAATTATTAACAATGTCATTTTTATATATTTTACAATACGGTTTATGAGAAATAGCACTTTCGTTGCTGTATTAATATAATTGATTGAGTTTTATTCTGATTACTATTGAAAAATTATTCTAAAATTATACTTTTAAACAAGATCTGATTGTTCATTTTATTATCGATAGAACTCCATTAAAAATGCCAATAATTCCCAAATGAAAAATAGAGCGATTGTTCTGTTCCATTGCATATATGTCAGGAACGTATTGCTTTCTCTTGACATTCTAATCGTAGAACAAAATCGATCGTTGACGCGTTCCAATTCGAAAGTGGATCACAAGACCGAACAATTACCCATCCTGATAATCGTACTGTGGTGCTCGTTTCCTGCGCGTAGCATGCAATAACAAGAAATATCGAATTGCCACTGCGACGAACAAGTATGTAGATTGGCAAAGAACGGATCTACACGTTGAACCCTTCTATAATGCGCACTACTTTTCTTCGTACTCGACACGTATATCTGGTGCACACGTTCTGAAAGCAATTGTTCGGAATGACAAGAACAATGTTTATTTTGTTCGCGTTGCGTTATCTCGCTAATTAGCGGTGATGACTCTTCTGAATAGACCGCGGATTTCACGTATTAATTTAGAAAATGCAATCTAGATGCGAAGTTCTTCTGCCATTTGAAAATAATATTTCCTATCTAATAATATGTCCTATCTATCCTTGAAT